ACAAAGGTGTACGTGCTAAAACGTGTACCTTTATACTACGTGGAGGGGCAGAACAGTTCTTAGAAGAAACTGAAAGATCTTTGCATGATGCAATAATGGTTGTAAGACGCATGTATAAGACCAATGACTTTGTAGCTGGTGGAGGAGCCATTGAGATGAAATTGTCAAAATCTTTGAGAGATTATTCTCGTGTCATAGCAGACAAAGAACAACTATTAATTGCAGCCATAGCTCGTGCACTGGAAGTTATACCAAGGTATTTACTACAATCCTACACAGTTACGGTTTTAGTTATAATATAATAACATAATAATACACTTTTCAGGCAACTGTGTGATAATGCTGGTTTTGATGCAACAAATATTTTGAATAAACTGAGACAGAAACAGCACAAAGGCATGCATACCTATGGTGTTGATATGAACACTGAAGATATTGGAAACAATATGGCAGCTTATGTATGGGAACCGGCTGTCGTGAAAATCAATGCGCTCACTGCTGCAACTGAAGCAGCTTGTCTTATTTTATCAGTTGATGAAACTATAAAGAATCCTAAAAGCAGTCAAGATGCACAACCTCAAATGGGTCGTGGCATGGGACGACCAATGTAAAACTGCATTGTTACTCAAACAAAAATAACAAGCTTGAAAATTTAATATTAATAATATATGTATTAGATGTATTGGTGCAAAACTGTTTATACTATTATGAATTACTGTAATACCCCATACAATTTTTGCATATGTCTTTCTTACATTGTAATAACAATTCTCATGATTTTTTACAAGTATTTTAGCAGTTTATCATTATAATCATAAGAAAAATTCCATATTTAATTGTATTTTGCATTTACGAAATTGCAAAAATATAATCCAATTACATAATTTTACTTCAAACAGGAAAATTAAAATTTATTTTATATGCTTGAGAATGCTTATATATTTACCCATTACTTTTATTAATGTTAGTAGTCAAAACATGATTATTTATTTATTTTTTAACTTAATGGCTTGATCATTTTCACATTATTCATAATATGTTTAAATAAAGTTATAAATATGAAATTTTAAATACAAAATTCGATGCATTCTTTGTTCAGCCAATAGCTGTATTTTATCCCTATCAGCTGTGGGAACTGATTTTATGGAATAAGAATCCATGTTATCTAGTAAATTAATTAAATTAAAGACACACTTGATCAATTATGGGACGGATTATATCCCATCTCCCATTCTAGTTCTATGTTCCACCTTATTTAAAATCAAGTAAGGTGGAAAAAGAAAATTGTCAATAATTATTACTTCCTTACACAAGAATTCTTTTTTTTATTAAATTTTTAACAACTCTTATTAATTATAATAAAACAATATTATAATTAATATCATGTCAAAGAAAATCATAAATGATAACAGAATTAATAGCAGCTAATTATGTTAAATACAACATTTTTATCAATAATGCAATTCATTGCAAACCAAATTGTTAACAAAATTTCTGTGTATTATATGACCACTCCAATTATTTTATTTTAAAATTAAAAATATAATAAAGCTTTGATTTCGAATCATAAAATATTGAAATTTCTGTTAAATGTGCATCCTTGTTTCGATAACCGAAATATCATCAAACTGCAGGCAACTTCGGTTCAGGTAACAGTTCACGTCGAAGAAGTTGTATGTGTTTTATCTACTAGGACAAATTATATATGGTTCTTGTAAATAAAACGTAATATCTTTAATGAACGGAAAAAATATATATTGTGTGAGATCGGTCATTCTGAGAAATCGATAACAAATGGTTAAAATACGAAAATATAATTGCCAATGCGTATTAGAAGAAAATTTTACGTGACAAACAGAGCTATTTCGAACTGCTAGACAACAGTAATATAGGCAATTGTTAAGCCGGCAAATATGAAAACGGAAGTGTCTTGGAAACGTCGGTTTCTTCGAAAAAAATTGAAATACACGTTGTTTTGTGTATTTGTAGTCGCTGTCATTTTCGTTGTTCACCAATTATTTTATTTTAAAGAACTTAACCAAGCAGTTGTAGGGAAATTAATTAGTGGGTCAGTACGAACTTCTGACTATATTATTACTAATAAAGTGGCTTCGAAAAGAAACGAATCGTTTCATTCTAAGCTCCTTCGAGATAAGGATGGTCGAACTGTATCTTTACATGGAACACGCGACAAAGACATTTCCAAATATCTGCCAAATTCACGAGGAAACTTCGTCTGTTTCACGTCGAAAGCAGAGATAGATTTTTTAAAAATTAACGACAATTACTGTGATTGTCCAGTGGATGGTAGTGACGAACCTGGTACCAATGCATGTAACAATGGTGTATTTTACTGTGAAATTTCTTCCACGCAAATTATATGTATTTAATTAATTATTTTTTAATTATATATTTAACTTTTTTCTGATTTTAACTACTAACATCGATTAAATTTTAGTGAAGATACCATCTTACAAAGTTAACGATGGAGTGTGTGACTGTTGCAATGGGTCTGATGAATGGACACAACTTGAATTATCACATATAAATAATGGTAACTAGTAATTCTTTTTAAAAAGGAATCTGTATGTTTTAATAGTTGCTTAATATTAATCACGCATAATTTATTTTTCAGACCCTAGGAATATAAGTCACTATAAATCCAAGTGTCAAAATAGGTGTTAATACATCGTACACTTAAATACAAGATATTTATTTCACTTGGATATATTAATTTCCCATCAATCATTCTACTAGTGTATTAATGTATATAAACCTTTACATTATATAAATATTGTTCCAAATATTTATTTTCAACTTTTAATCATTTAAAGGTATAATGAACTATCGATTAATCAACATATCTCAAACACATTATTCAATATTAATAGGCTACTTTCTTTTATATCAAATACTGAAATTTTTCACAAGAATATATGTAATGTTGTCGTATTATAAACTAAATTTAAAATTAACAAATATTCAAAAGTAACATACAAAAATTGTGTAAGATATTATATGTTAAATATTTATACACGCATATTTTTGGATACATAGGACACTCATTTCTGATTATTAACACTGTTGGGTTGTTAATGGAATTAATCTTTATTGTATTAGCCAGCACTATAGCAGTTATCCATTTTATTGTCCCTATACATAAATAGTCACAAATTGTGCGTATCTATAAATAGTGATCACTACAGATTTTTTGTGTATAATCTGTTAATATTTTAATCTGTTAATATATAATTTTCTAATGAATATGAAGAAACTTTTAAGCTAATTGCCATAAATTTCTGACATTTAAACAGGGACAAAAGTTATAAAATTTGTTTTGAAATACTAGTCTTGTAATGATCTGTTTTTTGAAAGTTATTATATTTGAAGAGGCATGAATTCATGTTGGCGGTAGCGAATGTATTAATATTTTTACAATGATCTAAGTAATTTTTACACAGAGAGTATATTATGTAATATAACATAGAAAAATTAAGTCTTCTCAACAATAATGTACTTCGTACTTATAGTTTTTCCTCGTGATTAATTGTTCCTCAAAGCGTACTTTAATCAAATCAAATAATAAAACATAACTAAGTATAATTTCCAATAGTTTTAAGAACATTAAAATGTAATTCTAAACTTCTTGGTTCATCTGCAAAGTGTAAAATTCGTTTCAAAGGAACTCCCATACTTTGTAAAATATTACAAAACTGATTTTCTTCTTCACGGATCCATGGACGATGAAAGTCACAAACTTGATATGGCGTGACATGTACATGAACTCCTATTTCTGTAATAGTATAAAACTTGTTAATTATAACTTATCCAAGTTTAGAAAATTTTTTTAATTATTTTGTTAAATATATTACTTAAGTTTGCAAAAGACTCTAATATAGGTTTATCTGTGATCCATGTATCTTTCAAACCTCCATGTCCGCCATCCAACCACCACATATAGTCAATGAGCTTTATGAAGTTACTAATTTCAAAATCAAAATGTGATTTATTGCGATAGTAATGAAATTCATGGAGTAATTGGTTCAGTACAACACAGCCTTTGCTAAAGCCCATTAACGATAATGTTGTTTCACCAATATTAAAATGAGTAGGATCCTAGCAGCTCAAACATAATTAAATTAACTTAGTATCACAACTCAAAATTTTGTAAAAATATGATTGAAAATGTACCTCATTTTTATTATATGCTTTCAAATTTTCTAACAAGGAATTTACTAATCCTTGTAAATGTTTTAAAGCGTTATGACATGGAGAAAATGATGGTACACCATACTCATTTGAAGGTACAAAATTATCATAACAACTGAAGCTAGCATTTCTTGTTAGGTGTATTCTAAAACAAAGTTGAATATAATAAATAGTATTACATATTAATATATAATTATGAGGTTTACCTTGATGGTCGAATGACAAGTACATGTTTAGTTGGAAAATTTGTTGAAAGTATGTGTGCAGTATTTTCTAAACTCCACTCTACATATTTTTTACTATCTGGATGTTGTTTCATATTTTCCTCAATATCCTTTTAAAAAATTGTTAATGTTATATAAGAATAATTATACACTAATTTTGTTATAATTTGTAACATTAGAATAATACCATTTTAATAACAAAGTTATTATTAATATTCTTTAATAAGAAATTCTTTAAAATTCATAATTATTAAAACTTCTACACATACTTGTACATCACCTCCAAAATATATAAGAATGCCTTGACTTGGAAGTAATTTTGGACATAAATAAAGTATATCATTAAAGTGGTTAGTGTTACCAGATACCTTTTTCCAAAACCAAATTTTGGAAGACATTTCAAATAATTATTTTCATCAATCTAAATCTGGAAAATAATGAGATGTATATGGACACAGTTAAAATTAATAAATAATGAACTTAATTTTGATTATTTAATAACTATCATATCTCGTAATTAACAATATTCTTTTACAGTTACAATTTTCTTCTTCTTAAAGTTATTTTGTAATGTATGTTAGTTTACTTTGCATTTGATATTATTATTAGTAGTCTGAATTTCAATATTTTTAATTATTATTAGCATATAATTATTTAATTAATTATATATCGGTAGAAGTTATTTGCAAGTGAATGGAATAATATAAACTGATTTTTTGTTTTTGTTTGAATATAGATTCTTTAAGCATGTAAATGAGTTCAACATTTTTTTCGGATGATGAATATTTTCTTTAAGTAAAAATTTGTTCGAATATATTCTTCTATTTGTTTATTTTAAAATGTCTTATGTTTATAAATATGCGTATAAAAAATATTCGATACAGTAGGTGGAAAAAATGTAAGGGATGATTCTTCATGATAACATAAGACGAAATTAACTGTAAGAAATTTCGATTTCGGTTATATTTTGAAGTTATTAATGACTTAAATCTTTTTAAATTATGACAATTTTATAATAACATAAAGTATAATTTCCAGTACGTATATAATAATATAATTTATATTTAATACATATAAAATTGCATTATTATAAAT